CTAAAAAGCGCGAATGGAAAATTAAGGTACATAACATTCAACCTTGACCTGAAGCTTATGCTCACCTAATATGATTTAGAAATGACGAATGGTTAAGATTATATGGGGTCATCAACGTTTTAAAGAAAAAGAAATGAGGGGGTCAGAAAAAATAATTTTTTTGACCATGATGACGTCATCAAAATGTAAAAAGGAGTCAAATATATCGACCAAGGATAAGCGAGATACGCTCAAATGCGTATTTTCAAAAATGACATCATAGCTATAATTCACTTTCTTTGAATTCAGATGCCAATATGATGACGTCACAATGTCCGATCAGCCATTATGATCTATAAAATCATATTTACAACTTATGTGCTTTCAGAATATGTAATAAAAATTGGGGGTCACCTTTCAACCTGAGGAGCTATAAGTGATTAAAATAGGTCTGATTTTAGCATAATTTCACTGTATAGCGGCACAAATACGCGCAAAGATACCTATGTTTGATGCGCACGAACGGCATTGCTATTGGCCAAATGATGACCGAAAAGAATGCAAATTTGTGAATACTATGTCAGGAACTCAAAATATGTAAAAGAACGTAATTTCTAGCTTTCGTACGTGCTGCGCAAGTAAAAATGCGCGCGCGTAGTGGTAAATTTCAAAAAAATTTGAAATGCTCAAAATGGCATAAAACGTGCTCTCATTTAGTAAAAAGGTGATTTTTAGCATTTTGAAATTTTGACGCACGCATACGCGCACGTAGGGAAACGCACGCATACGCGCACGTAGGGAAGCGCACGCGTAAAATTAGGGTACAGTACATTCAACATTAACCCGAAGTTAATGCTCACTGAATACGATTTCGAAATGGCAATTGGTTAGGCTGATATTATCGATAATGTAAAAATGCAAAATTGCGCGTAGTTAACGTCACGCATGACTGAGCGCGTTGAAAAGCTTACCATGACTATTCCAGACCAAGCCAAATGTTCGCTGACAGCGATTGTGTGTAACTCGTGGAATTTTTTGAGATATCGTGCGAACATGAAAAGGGGAGAAAGAAAGAAGAATAAGAAAAAAAAGAAGATGATGATGATGATCCTGACAATAACAAGAGGTGATCCGCTAGTGTAGCGGATCACCAAAAATAAAGGGACACGTCTTAAAGAGAATTGATTTAGCTATAACATACTCACAGGTGGGAGACAATCAATCAAGAATAGGCGAGATACGTTCAAACGAGTATAAACATAATGGCATCATAAATAAAAATTCAGTTTTTTATTTCAAATGGCAATATGATGACGTCACAATGTCCGATCAGCCATTATGAAGTAAAAAATCTTATCTACAACTCATGTGCTTTCAGATTATGTAATAAAAATTGGGGGTCACCTTTCATCCTAAGGAGCTATAATTGATTAAAAATATTCATGGTTTTATGCATATATAAATGTTGACGCACGCGTACGTACACGCTGAAGAGCGCGAACGGAAAAATTAAGGTACATAACATTCAACCTTGACCTGAAGCTTATGCTCACCTAATATGATTTAGAAATGACGAATGGTTAAGATTATATGGGCTCATCAACGTTTTGAAGAAAGAGAAATGAGGGGGTCAGAAAAAACAATTTTTCTGACCATGATGACGTCATCAAAATGTACTAAGAAATCAAATATATGAAAGAGAATTGTCTCAGCTATAACATACTCAAAGTTGGAAGACGATCGATCAAGGATAAGCGAGATACGCTCAAATGCGTATTTTCAAAAATGACATCATAGCTATAATTTACTTTCTTTGAATTCAGATGCCAATATGATGACGTCACAATGTCCGATCAGCCATTATGATCTAAAAAATCATATTTACAACTCATGTACTTTCAGAAAAAGTAATAAAAATTGGGGGTCACCTTTTATCCTGAGGAACTATAACTGATTAAAAATAGGTCTGAATTTACCATAATTTCACTGTATAGCGGCTGTCTCTTATACACATCTAGATGTGTATAAGAGACAGGTGTACAATACCGAAGTTCAATTGTGTATGCAATATATTAAAATCATATAGATACTTGATTTACAATCAATCCATAATCTATATGGTGGACACATTTGTTGTAATAGTAGAAGAAGCAATGTAAAATTCAAAACTGGTACCACGTTATTGACTAACTATAGTATAATGCTGTTACATCTGTAACCTAGAAGAGACTGCTGTCAAAAGTCTAGATGT